TTGTCCTTTGATGTCATCGGCCGCTGTACCTGCGACGTTCGTGGCTTTGGAGATGTCGATCACATCCGCGTTGCGGTAGATAGACAATGTGCTTTCTGCTCCGTGACCAGCGTTGGAGTCGCGCGCAAGGACGAGGAATTGGGTTTCGGAGATATAGTGCATCTCGGACTGACTGGCGACGCGCCCTGTTGGTAGCACAGGAAGCTGAACAGCATATTCCGCCTCTAGCGTAGTCTGGTCGTCTTTGACACGGTACTTGAGAAGGCGGGTGTTGCGACGCTTCTTCGCGGAGCTGCCGCCGTCCTGGATGGTAGCACTTTGGAGCATGGTGTAGAGGTACTTGCCATCTGGACTGGCAGTCAGAGCTTCCAGGCCCTGGTTGTTGCCTCTGCCACTGTCGGGATCCTCGGGCGTGATCTCAACATCAGGGTCGTAGATTGGCGGAGATGCCGCGTTGAAGCTTTCAGTCCCGTTACGGCGGGGAACAAGAGCCTCGGGGGTGCGAACAGCCTTGATCATTTTGCCCTTCTTATCGAACTGGTAGACGTACGCGGCGTATTCGTCACTGATCCAGAAAGTCTTGTCGTCTCCGAGGACCAGGCCCTCAGTGTCTAGCGGGACGCGAGCACCACCGGTTCCATCTTGGCCGAAGCCGTTGCCAGTGTCTGCAACTATCAGTACTGATAATTGATATGTGAATGTAGAACTTACATCTAGCTAAAGGAAGAGTTGGGAAGCCAGGGTAGGTGATGGTTTCTGTAGGATCTAGACCAGTCAAGGGCGTTCCATCAGGTCCAGTGAGAAGCAGAGTGTCGACGTAAGAGAACTGGAAGTTCGGACTGGCCGGTTTCTTCAGAGTTGCCTCAACCGGTGTGAAGACAACGCTGAACTTGTGGATGCGGGTCTGAGTGTTCTGGGTGCCCTGGGTATTCCAGCCGCGATCAGGCAGACCCCAAACGACACCCTCGTAGGAACCTTTCTTGTACTTCCAAGACTTCTTCTCGAATGCAATGGCGCTTCCAATGCCGCCAATGGTGTCGCCATACTTGTCACGAGCGTCGCTGACAAGTTTTCCGTAACCCGCTAGCTCCTCGTAGGTGTAAAGTTTGCCATTGCAGGTGGTGACATTTGCTGCTGCAGCATTATCATCTCGAGTGATGACCGGACCAGCAAAAGCTTGGTTGACGGAGAGCGCCAGAACGCCGAGCGAAGCGACAAACAACATTGCGAAGGGTGGTAGACTGTCGCGTGCCTGAGCAGATGCTTTCTGAAGAATGTCAACAGCCTATATACATGCCCGTCAGGACCGGGATGATCCCGCGATGACGCGACCCGACAGCCAGGCACACGAGGCTATCTTGATGCATATTCATACCAGCAGACACACGTGCGCTGTCTGTTTGGCTGCGACCGACGAGGGTACAAATGCAATAGCGGCATGGCGTTCGCAGAAGCCGTGTAAACAGGCAAATGGCGTCGAAGAAGCGGCATGTAGGAACAGATGCTCTGCCATGGATGTCACTAAGTCATACCAGCGAGCGCAGTGGACTGCAAGCTCCTGGCGGAATCCCCAATAATGACGCGAGGTTCGTGGAGATGGATGCGCACGTTGCTCGAGAACATGATGTGAGTCGCTGATCGGAAATGGTGCCGAGGCAGGCGTTATTCCCGATCGGGCATGCGACATTGGCGGGCGGGTACTTAGTTCAACATAGTTCAGCCTCTAGAGAGTACACTCAAGCCGTCTTTTGACGTCGGAATCAGTAATGGAGTGAGCTGCCCAGTTCGGCCGGTACCGGGAGTGGTATTCAGTCGACCGTCATTGCCCAGGTGAGGGGTGGACACATAAGAAGCCGCCTTTGCCTCCATGGATACGTAATCATTGCAAGCTACAAAAGAGCATGAGCCGTGTAACGTCAACAGTGGATTGATTCCGCATGTCTTTTGTAGAAACCGGAGTTTGTATCGCATTCTACTATCTCAACTTCAGCATGCCCTGCCTGTTCATGGCAGTGCGATTGAGTCATGCTCATGCGAGTGTAACTTCCCGAGGCCAAAACATGATGGCTCTGTGGAGGGTAAGAGCTCCCGTCCCAAGCTGTACCTTTCCTTCCGCATATCCAGATCTTTCTATTGTACAGTTGCCCTGGCTGTTACTGCACACACGTTCCTCGCGACTAGAACGTCACCCTAAATCCTTTTATCACTGACTTTCGAACTTCCTACGTCACGATCTATATATCACGATACTTGCCACCGCTCTTCAGGCTCCGACTCACACGCTGACGAATGTTTGCTGTCCAGTTGACGTATTCATCGTAATCTGCAACTACCATGCTTGGGACCTCCGGCGATGGCTTAATCACCAAGCTCACCTCGTACCTCACAACCGATAAAGAGGCAGCCCTCAACACTCCTCCTTATACACCTGACCAGGAGCGCCAACCCCACTTTGCTTTCGCAACAACAACGCCGCATGATGCCGAGACAACGAGCAACGATCGAACTGACACGTCAGCGAGTCAGCCCTCGAAGGCGGGTTCTAGGCGGTCGCTGAAACGATCCGCGAGCGAACTGGTTATACCGAGCCAAGAACGGAATGAGCGCTTGACTGCGATTGCCGCGTTGGAGGCGGTGCGCTCGAAGGAGGATGGGCGCCATACAACCCGTCCGATCCCATCTCCGACACGTAGCCAGCTACGGCCTCCACGACCCGGCTCTCAGCGCTCCATCAGCAACTCCAGATACGAACTAAAATCTCAGTACCACGATCCAAACATTTCATCTGCTAGCCTTCAGAAGCAACTCGTCGAGCAGACAAAGTCCATGGCCAAGCGATCTCAAACACCCGAGCCGAATAAGAACCAGATCAAGAAGGGTGCAAGGCCAAGTCCCATCAGGTCCACTGCTGTGCGTTCAAAGTCAGAGCCAGACCCAGCAAGAGCGTTTGCAAACCCAAAGACGCGCCATGGGAACGCGAAACTGAAGCCATGTATAAAGAAGAAGGCGAAGAGTACCACAACCACACCACCGACCGGATTGCAACAAGAAAGCATCAACGCCGAGCTCAAGACCTTGCGCCGCGTGAAGACTGTCGATTTCGAAGAAAGCGGTTCGAAGCAATCGATTACGTTACCCCCGGCACCCATCACGGAAGAAGTCTCGACTCGGATTCTAGCAAGTGATACCGGAGAGAGGTTCAGGTCGGCCAGCAATCATACAGAACTCGCCAAGTCATGCCCATCATGCCCGAACACGATGAACATAGCGAAGAGCGCTGCAGCAGAGCCAGCTACTACACGGACAGACGTACATGTCATCGCCATAGCTCCCTCGTGGGACGCGCAAGGACTCACCCATGATGACAGCGCTGACCCAGCAACACCTACAATGCAAATCATCGAGACAAAGAGTGGCAGCTATGAAGTAATCTGGGACGATGTGCCAGAAGAGCACACCATTAGGACAAGAGGACGACGAAGCTCGTCAGCAAGTCATGCCTTAGAAACTGCCAGCCCAAGCGCCAAACGTGGTGGCCTTGACCGAGTCAACTCGAAGCTCGCAGGATGGTCGGGAACCTGGAATAGCCCGTCAGACAGCTTCAAGCCCACCATTGTGGTGTTCCCTGATGATGATGGTCAAGCCACTCGCTATGACTGCGCAGTGGACGACGACGAAGACCTGGCAGCAACAGTACCTCCAAATAGCCGTATCACAAGCGGAGCGCATTCTAGCGTCTCATCACGTCCCGTAAGCGCGCCTCTGACCAGGAGCGTGTCGTGTGAGGAAATATCACTTCAGCACGCCCTACAGGTGACGCCGCCGCACGCTCCAGGAGCAGGATCACCACCCTCCGAGCACACTCTTGTCGTGCCCAATGTCGAGATCCCGCATACCAGAGGAAGAAACACCAAGCCATCGCCAATGATCCGAAAGCTCTCGAATCTCGAAGAAGCAGACACCAAATTTCGCGACCATCGCGATTCTGTTACGATCGCGCACTCTCGTATTGTGCATTCGGGTGGTGTGTCGCCTGAACTGTTTGCTCATAGGGATTCTGTTTCGCTGGGAAAGAAGCGCATGCACGCGCGTAACCATGCCGCATCAGCAGCACGGTCGTCATCGAGCAGGAAAGAGTTGTCTGTTGAGGCACTCGGTCTCTTCACTGACGAGGATATCTCAACGGCGACGTTGCCGACCGTCAAGGAGCATGCCGCACAGGCGCTCAGGAACAACAGCGAACCTTCCATCCTTCATCCACCACAGCAGACTGCCAATAAACGCCACATACGGATCGTGGAGTGAGGAAGCGAAGCCGAGTGGTTGATGCTGGCTGATACTGGCTGAGCAGACGGACGGGCCGGAGGTAATGTGGCGATGGTATCTTCTAATTTCGCTCGAAGAGCATCGATAACCTGTAGAGTATGAGTCGGATCGGAGCGCGTTGATCTCAATCTCATGGTCAGAGGGTGGTCGGTGATGATGCCGAATGCAGTGGCAGGTGGTGTGGGCTAGGGAGTCCTTGGCGTGATTATCGATAGACTCCAATTAGCGTCATCGCGTCCAAAGCATCGTCGCCGACGCCAACCCTCCAACTCTACCATGAATATGAACGAAATTGTTGCGTTGCCTTCTTCCTTCGATCTGAACTTCGATCTGAGTTCGCGTCATCGTAATGTCTGCGCTGATGTCTATCGCGGCGCGTCTGCCACTCGTGCCTGCCTCTTGCGCGATGACATGCAATGCAGCACGCCGTACATATACGCGCATGCTGTTACAATGCGTTCCGAAAGCTGATACTTCTAATAATGTATTTGATCTATGCTAATGATCCAGGGCTCGGCTTGCCGATCGTCGTCCTCCAAGCCGGATCACGTATCATCTAACGATTGGCGTCGCAGTATACGTTTGAGCACCAAAGCAGATGAAGACGATGCCGCGTCAACGCCATTGTACACACGCGCTTACCCATTCATCCTTACCAAACCACAGCTACAGTAATGCCAGCATTCGCACCACACAAGTCGACTCACGACGTTTCCATCATGGCCTTCGCGACCAACGACCCATTAAAGCCCGACCAACGATACGACGCCTTACGCAACACCGACGATCACTCGGATTCAAGTACGGAGGTTGACGACTGGGACACAGAAGATGCAGTCCGGCCGAGACGAAGACGCAAGACGGTGTGGAAGAGGCTGAAGGGCTATCGCTGGATACTGGACACGGCGCTTCTCCTCGTCATTGTGGGGTTGCTGGTGGAGAAGAGATGGCAAAAGCATGCGAAAAGCCATCAATACGAGCTCGCGGGAGACATTACAGGATTTGCGCCAACGTTCTCGCAACAGATTGTGAGCTTCAAGCCCAGTTCTGTGTTCGCCCCAGAAGATGCGGCAGAGTTCTGGAGTAACGAGACGCAACATGCATGGCTGAGCATCGTACCAGGTATGTGCATCTTTCTGGTTCCTCACAGTTGAACAGTGCTGACGATGTCCATAGAGGGCTTGGGCTACGTCAACGTGAAGAAGCCCTCCGAGTACTCAAACCTCCCACACCCGATACACGACTATCCCAATCATACCGTCTTCACCACATCCGTAACGCATCAGCTGCACTGTCTCTATACTATACTGGGCGCCTACAACTCCATGAAGCTGATGGTCGCGTCACCTGTGTCAGCGAACCCTGTCAAGATGCCATGGCACATCAACCACTGCTTCGAATACATTAGACAGGCGATAATGTGCGCTGGAGATGTGGCGCTGGAAGGGGCTGCGACAAGCTTCCCTGGCGACGAGCATGGAGAAGATCGGGGTGGGAGTGACGGTTGGGATGCGAAGCATGTGTGCAAAGACTACACACAGGTATATGAATACCTAGAGAAGGAAACGATCAATCACATGAAGTGGATCTCATCGGATTAGTGATCCACGCTGTACCCTCGGAGGCAGCATGTGAAGTGGAGTCTGCCTCGTGCAGCGGGCCGTTTGGACAGACCCAAACGTGGGCTTTGCGCTTGCGCACGCGGGTGACGTGTATCGAGTTCACCATCAGCAACCCAAGACATTGGCATGTAGCAACATTGTATACATCGTATTCCAAGTGCAAAGCGTCGAATTAAAGTTATGAGCTGACTGTGCACACTATCGTAGCCTGTGTTACATTGTAACAATTTCGCTATGGACCTATGATTTCTTTCTAGCTAGCTGACTCTGATGATTCCCGCAACAAGCAGCATTCCCTTCTCGCCTGCAACACATGACTACCTATCCCACCTCATTACAGTAACTTCCGAGTCCTCCGAGCATGCATACAGCACCATCGGGCAGTAACCCGTTTAGGTCCAACATGCGAATTCGCAGATCTGCTGTATCAGATTTGGCGAATCACGACCCCCGCGAATCAGCCTCGGTAACGGGGCAGAGCAGGGATGCTGCAGCAGCGGCATCACCGAAAACCTACGCACGCTATGCTCTAGCCTCCGCGAGCGCATTCCCTTCCGAATGGGCGTTTACCTCAGCAGTCGGGCGCCGCTTTGCACCGTGTCCGGAGCTGAATGCTCAAATTGTAAGTGTGCCGTGGGCTTGTTAGACGATGCGTTTGTGGAACCCCTAGAATTTCGGACGAGTGTTGGTGGTATAAGAGAGTGGCTGGCCTCGTGACTAGTGATATTATTTTGCTGTGTTGACATTTTACGACAAACCTTGGAAGTACTCAGCCAAGCCCGTGGCTATACTGAACGACCATCCGCCTCTTGGTGGTAATACCGGGATTCTTGGACAACACCGCGGAGAGCGGAACAACGACGGAGACCGAACAGTTTATCGGACCTCGGCCGAGCAGTCGCACGACAAATCTTTCTGCGAGTAAGAAAAGAGACATTGATTGCATACGGACGTAAGACAAGGGGAAGAGGACTTGGGTGTCTGTTACCTGGGCTTGGCTCAACAACAGACGCTTCATACTGTGGATTCAAGGCGGACCTGACAGCGGCTGTGTCTATTACCCTGCAATCACTCTTTCCACATCAACAACTGGGTTTGTTGCGAGGCACCGGTTAAACACCTCGTGGAATAAACGCGACTGCCTCGACGAAGGCATACAAATAGCTCCCACGAAGACGCGGCTACCCACTATCGACATTCCTCGACGTCATCACTAAAACCTTTTCCGAAAACCACTCCTACTCTCCAACAACACCATTCCTACAGACACCATGGCGCAGTCGCCACTACTTTTCATCGTTGCGGGAGCCGCTATATCCTATATCCTATACACCCGTATTGCCCTGTACCTCGCGCGCCAGCGCTTCAAGAAAGAGAATGGCTGCCAACCCTGCACGGCGCAGTTCCACAAAGACCCTATTTTCGGAATTGATAATGTGAAGGTCATGGCATACAACAGCAAGCACCACATCCTGCTGGAAGAGAACAGAAAGCGCTTTGGACGGCTCGGTAACACTTTCCATAACAGGCTGGTTACCATGCCTTTCATTGCGACGTGTGAGCCGGAAAACGTCAAGACGATCTTGAGTTTGAAGTTCAAGGATTACGGTTTTGGTCATAGGCAGGGTGCTTTTACTCCTCTTTTGGGCCACGGTATCTTCAACGCGGATGGTGAGCGGTGGGCTAATAGCCGTCACTTGCTGCGACCCAACTTCGCTCGCGACCAAGTTGCAGATATCGAGGCGTTCGAGAGGCACTTCAAGCTTATGCTCAAGCACATCCCCAAGGATGGCGCTACTGTCGATCTGCAAGAGCTCTTTTTCCGTTTGACCATCGACACCGCAACAGAGTTCCTCTTCAACCACTCCACCAACTCGCTCCGCATGATCGGCCAGGAGGACGAAAACAACGAGGACGTCATTTTCAGCAAGGCATTCACCGCCGCACAAGACGACATCACGACCCGCACCCGCTGGGGCATCTTCGACCGATTCCGCAAGAACCCAGAGGGCAAGAAGGCTATCAACATCTGCCACGCCTACGTCGACAAGTTCGTCGACGATGCTCTCCGTTTCAGGGAAGAATTGGATGCTGAGAAGAGCGCTGGAGGCAAGGACGACAAGTACTACTTTATCCAAGAAGTAGCCAAGCAGACTACCGACAAGAAGCGGATTCGTGAGGAACTCATCAACATCTTGCTTGCCGGACGTGACACGACTGCTAGTCTGCTCAGCAACATGTTCTTCCAGATTGCGAAGAGGCCTGATATCTATGCCAAGTTAAGGGAAGAGGTTGCGGCACTGGGAGGTCGCACACCGACGTACGAGGAGTTGAGGAACCTCAAATACGTCAAGTGGTGCCTCAACGAATGTGAGTTTGGCCACTGAGTTGACGCTGTTTCTATGCTAACCTTGTCCAGCACTCCGCCTTCACCCAGTCGTCCCCGGTAACTCCCGCCTTGCCATCCGCGACTCCGTCCTGCCCCGAGGAGGTGGTCCAGACGGCCAAGCACCTTTGTTCGTACCAAAGGGAACCACAGTTGGCTACTCACCATACACCATGCACCGCCGCCACGACCTCTACGGCCCAGACGCAGACGAGTACAAGCCTGAGAGGTGGGAGACACTCCGTCCAGGCTGGGAATACTTGCCCTTCAACGGCGGCCCACGCATCTGTCTCGGCCAACAGTACGCGCTTACCGAGGCGAGCTACTTGACTGTGCGTTTGGTGCAGGAGTTCAAGACTATGGAGAGCCGAGACCCGGGTCCATGGCGAGAGGGTCTCACACTGACTCTTGCCTCAATGAACGGTACGCAGGTTGGTCTTACGCCTGCCTAGAAGGAGCGTAGCCAGCGATTGAGACACAGCTGTTTTGAGAGGTGTCAGACTGGGGAGGGCGGTGGAAAAATTCAGCACGATGAGTTGTGTTTGCTTGCGGAATCACTGGGAGTCTCGCCCGTCATGCAACCTACTTGGCCAGGAGAGATGCCTAACAGGAGAAGGCGGCTATCATTGTTCTAGGGAGTTCTGTTCATATGGGGGCCTTTCAGAGGCATTGCATCTTGATCTTCACTGTACTATACCTACTACTACGAAATTCTATGAACTCTAAGGAAGCTGGCAGAGAGGGTGACTTGCTACTAGGCGTCCTCCCGAAGCACTAAGACATGCTCGTGCATTCGGTTAATTCACAATGTTTCGAACGTCTCACTTTCGTGATTAGATACAAAATAACAGTGCTCTCTTCGCCAGCGGCAATCAAACCTACAACATTACTGCAACTGTAGTGAGCCGAATCGAGACTAGTGCCGGAAGTCCGCAACTGAGACCCCAGACACACAAGTGTTGATCAACAACAGCGCAACACGCCACGACGCACGCACCGAACCGAACCTTCCACCTGTCCCGTAATCTCGCTGGCAGACATCATGTCGCGAAGTCACCGCCCCTCGACGACGCCCATGGACTTTGAGTGGACGAACCAAACAGGCCCCATCGACGCTCAATCGCCCTTCCTCGCTGCCAGCCAACAAAAGAAGCGTGAGTCCCCAGGCCCCTCTTCCGCTTCCAGACGGAACACATTTGGGGAAACACAACCGCTGACTTCAGGGCCTTCTTTCGGCCAGCCAGGTCCTCACTCCGTCCTAGACTCTCCCTCCAAAAACGGTTTCGCGACTCCAAACCGGCTGCGCGACCCCGACAACCGCATGACATACTTCAGCCGCGATCCCAGCAAGCCGCTACCGTCCACACCCGCATCCTCGGTGCCCGCACACATCCAACCCAGCCTCTGGTCTATGCGGACGCCCTCACACGACCTCGACTTCAGCTCAGGCGGGGAAACACCCGGCACACCACAGGTAGACAGCGACCCTGGCACACCAGACACACAATTGGCGAGCAAGATGGGGCGGTTGGGCAACGGCGATGTAAAGGGCGGTCGGCGAGACAGCTGGTTCAAGCGGACCTTCATGTCCACGCCGAGCCCCACCAAAGAGCGGGACAGAGAGCGGGACAAGGACAAGGACGCATCGCAAAAGTACTACTCCAAGAAAGCCGAGAACCGCATAGTCAAGCGCCGGTCAGAGCGCTCACGGTCCAAGAAGCGCGCCACGGTACATGACGACGACGGCGAAGATTCCGACAACGAACTCCAAAGACGGCCTCAAGTCCCTCCCAAAGAGGCGGGCCCCGTCCAGCAGACTCTCGCCATGAGCGTAGGCGGCTTCCTCTCGTGGGTGGAAGCGCATCCCAACCTCCCCTCCGTACTATCCTACTACCTCCAACTCACCGTCAACATGTTCCTCGGCAGCCTCTTCATCTACATCGTCTACTCCGCCTGGGCGGGCGTCATGACCGACGTCGACATCGAGTCCTCCAAACACGCGTCGGAGGTCATGGTTGAAATCGCCGGATGCGCCATTGAATACAACCGGAATCGCTGTCGGCCGGAGGAAGTCGTGCCGGCGATGGAGAGGGCATGTGGTGTCTGGGAGACGTGCATGAACCGCGATCCAAAGAAAGTTGCAAGAGCGACGGTGACGGCGAAGACGTTTGCTATGATCTTCAACTCTTTTGTCGAGGAGTTTAGTTATAAGTCTATGGTATGTTGCTTTCTTCTCGGTACACCGGCGGTCGCTGTGTATAGAGCTGTTCACGGACGGCGCGGGCACATTGATTCTGCGCATACGCATTCGCACAACCACTACACCCAGTCCTGTAATTGCTTTCAACGCAGCCAACCTCAAACCCACCACCACGAACCCCCAAATATATATCCCAACTCAGACTAACACGCCCCTCAGATCTTCACAGCCATAATAATCTTCGGCGGCTTCAACCTCTCAAACTGGGCTTTCGGCCTCCTCCGCTCCCAGCAACAACAACAATCCCACCACACACAACCCCACCACCAAACCCAACCCAACGAATACGTCCCACAAACACCTCACAGAGTGCTTAGCAACGGGTACAACGAT